TCTGGTGGCCGGAGGAACAGGATCAAGGAACACGATCACAGGTCGAAAGCGGAGGAAAACACCCGAAAATTAATTTGCTGGTAATGGAGTCACCGTCATTTCCGAACTCTTACAGTTACTCCAACATTGAACAAAAATGTCGAGGAAAATGTTTCTTTCATCCAGCGACCTTGACAATTGTGTCCCCGGGCTGTTGCGAGGTGCGAGGCAACGTTGGACGCCAAACACACCCACACCCTGTCTCACTCTGTCTCTTGTCTCTCTCCTAGTCCCCTCTGTCTGTCTGTCCCTTTCTTTCTCCTTGCCTGAAGATCCTACACCTGTGCGCTCGGGGGAGCGGGCCGCCGTCTCAACACATCTGCTTCACGGGTTGGCCTACCCAGCGCGTTGCAGGCGCTATAGCTACGAAGGCGTTCATTGTCGGGACGTCCGAAAAAATCGCACATCGAGCTAATTGCTGACGTTTTTGTAAATTACATTAAACTGTGGGCCCTTACAACACCCCCGCTCCCCGCTTTAACGCGGGAAGCCGCCTGTTCAACTTCGATGTTCGGGGTGTGAGCCCGGCGCATACTGTTATTCAAACACTTGACGTCACATTTGAACGACCGACTCGCGTGTCACATGGGTTCGAATACTGTTTCACAAGTTCGAGCTGCTCAGAAAAATATTTTTGGGAGCGGAGATTCCAACCACCACCAACACCGTTTTGTGACGCGCGTGACCTACTCTGCCGGCGCGGCCACGTCACCTCAGTATCAGCTGGGCGAGTTACACCCGATGATGTGTTCGTACGCGGCAACAAACCATCACTCCTGTCAGATTTCTTGTGAGTTTATCCCCTTTGCCGCCCTTTGCCCTAAACGTGGCGCGACCGTGTGCGATTTGTTTGGCGGAGGAGCGGGGGTCCCCCGCTGGGTCAGAGCGGCAGCAGCGGCGGCAGCGCGGGCGGCGTGCAGAGAGGGCGAGGGGGAAAGGGCGCGAGGGGAAGGGGGAGAGGACAAGAGAAGGGGAGCCAATCTTGCCGGCAAACAGTTTGGACCCCGAATTTCCCGGGCAACCTGCTACGCCATCACGACATCACGCCCCCTTCCTCCCCATCCCAGGGCAGGCTCTCTCGCCGCCAATTTCACTTTCCACCTTGTCGCCACTTCTACAATATTGTGTCCGCTGCCCGGGCTCCGGCCCGGCCCGGTGCGACGCGCCCTGCGAACATAACGAGGGTCAGGCCAGCCGAGCCGTCCTCCACTTAGCGGTCGTGACGGGCGGGGCGGGTGAGACTACAGCCCCCGGCCGCCCCTGATGAGCCTCGCTGCTGGAAATGATGACATCTCGTTGCCAGCATTTTGATTCGCGCGCCCCCGCCGTCTCTTCTCTTTTCGTCGTGGTCCGTGCGACAGATCAACAGCACTCGACTGCGGCGGCGGGAGGGGTTGGCAAGCGGCGGGGAGCTCTCGGTCTGAACTGCCCTGCCCTCGATCGAAACATGATCCGCAGCCAGCAAATAACCGCATGACAGCAGCGCCCGGCCCGGCCCGGCGGGGTGGAGCTGGACAGCGTGACCTCTCTTGCTCCCGATCCTCCCGATCCGCGCCCAGGCCGCCTCCGCCCGACCCGACTGGGGCTGTGTTCGGCTTGGAGCGGCGCGACACACATGACAAGCCGGCCGAGCTAACTTTGGAGGGCCGAGCTGCTACCCGAGCGAGCAGTGTACGCGTCGCTAGCAACCGTGGTTCTAGTCTTTTCTACGGGCCCGTGGAACGCGCCGCCGCCAGCCGCACACTCCCAAGATTTCGAAATCCCCCCCTGCTTTTCGCGCCAAAATAAAGTTGTCACCTCTAAAAGGTGGTGGGTCGGGTCGGGGCTCGAGGCCGCTGCTAATGGAGTGTGTGTCGGGTGTTCTTCCATCGGATGCGCGCCGAGGAGCGCCGAGGAGCGGCGAGGAGCGGCGCTTTCCGGAAGTGGCCGCCGCCCGCTCGGCCGCAGCCAGCAGGGCCCCGGCAGCGCCCTGGGAGGGGGGAGGGGGGAGGAGGAGGAGGAGGAGGCCGGCGCCGCGTCGCCAAAGTGCCGCTAATTGAACTGTGGCCGCCGCTGCTTGGCGCCGCACGCTAGGCCGCGCGGCGCCACGCCTTGCGAGGACGTG